GTTTTAAAATATTTAAACATTCAAAAATAATATTCGAAAATATTTAAAAATAATATTTTAAACTACAATCCTTTCATTTAGGTGAAATCGAAAATAAAGAGAGGGGATGTGTATGGAATATAATTTTGCTTGAAATCAATAATTCAATTTATGATATACATATATATTATAATTGGAATGGAGAAAACGGTCCGTTAGATAATTCGTTAAGGAATCATTGTCATAGATCGAAAATTTCCTAACGAGTATCGTTCCGCTAGAAATTTCCGTCTCAAATATATACTTGACAGTTGCACCTATTTTTTTTCGTGTGACCCCTCTCACTCTCCTCCTTTCACTTTCGATTTTTCATTTCATAATACATGACTAGAGAGAATAATTTTTTTTTATTTTCAAATCTCATTCTCTGAGATTTTTCTTATGAACCACTTTTTTTATCATCTGTAAAATCGCTTTTTTATTTTCACTCATAATTACAATTTCTCTTTTATACATAAAATATTCCGCAATTAGAAAAATTTTCTCAACAAAATATTGTTTTATTAAAATTATTATTGGTACTAGCAAATGATAAGGAATTTGGTATTTAATATAAATTAAATTATTTTCAACAATTTTGATGAAATTACTTTTAAAAAAATTATTATTTTCAAAATTTTAAATAAAATTCCTTCTAAAAATTCAATTATTTTTAAAAATTCAAATAAAATTCTTCGAAACAATTCAATTATTTTTATGAATTGTAAAATCCTCCGCAAGAATTCAATTATTTTTATAAATAAAAAAATTCTTCAAAGGAATTCAATTATTTTTAAATACAATTTTAATTAAATTTCTCGAAAGAATACAAATATTTTTTTAAAACTATTATTTAAATTCAATTATTTTCAACAATTCTTATAAAATTCTTCGAAACAATTCAATTATTTTTGTTATCAATTGTAAAATTCTTGCCAAGACTTCAATTATTTTGGTAAATAATAAAATTCTTCTGAGAAATTCAATTATTTTCAATACAATTTTAATTAAATTTCTACGAAAAAATTCAATTACCTTTGAGATAATTTTAATAAAATTTCCCTAACAGGTTTTAAAAATTGTAATACAATTTTTCAAAACAATTTTCGAAGAAATCAATTAAAATTGTATTGAAAAAAAAATTCAATTATTTTCCAAATTTTCAGAAAAAATTATTTTAAAAAAACTTTATCATTTTCAAGAATATTGAAAACAAAATTATTCAAATCAATTTAATTATTTTAAACAATTTTTAATAAAAATCTTGACATGAATTCTTCAAAACAATTCAATATTATTTTATAGAATTTTAATAAAAATCTTGTCATGAATTAAATTACTTTCAATACAATTTTAATTACATTTTCTCGACAGAATTTAATTATTTGAAAAAATGTTGAAAAATTCTTTAAATGAATTCAATTCCTATATTCAAATTTTTTAATATTTTTTTTATTTCATTATTTTCAAATATTTCTATAAAATTCTTCATAACAATTTAATTATTTCTTAAAATTTTAATGAATTCTTCGAAACATTTCCATTATTTTTATAAATAGTAAAATTCTTCGCAAGAATTCAATTATTTTCAATACAATTTTAATAAAATTCAATTGCTTTCAAAATTTTCAATTAAAATATTAAAGAAAAAAAAAAGAAAGAAACATCACTAATTTAAAAAAAAATTCAAAGAAATCCTTCAAAAGAATTTAATTAGGATTTAAAATTTTTTTTTTAAATTCTTCGCGAAAATTGCAATTATATTATTGTTTTTTTTAAAAGAAATAACAAAAAAGCAATACGATAATTACAATACAATTTAATTGTACAAACAAATAAAAAGGAAATAATTTCCAATTTGTAAATTTTACGATAGTTTACAATTAAAGAAAATTGTTAATAAAAAAACTGTTAATGAAGAAAAATTGGTAATTAAAAAAAATTCATTAATTTAAAAAAATTGCTATAATTTAAATTAAAAAAAATCAACAATTAAAAAACTAGAAAATTTACTAAAAAAAGAAAAGAAGAAGAAATCATAAAATTCGATGCAATTTTCTTTTATTTGATCGCACAATTTTTTTTTATTTTTTATCATTATAAACGTATAAGATAAGATTGTTTCGTGTGTGTATATAAAAGAATTGAAACCAATTTTAGAGGATTTTTATCCGGTAATAAAATGAGAGCAAACAACGTCATTTTCTTGTGTAATCAAATTTAGTAAATGCAAGCGAACGAGTGAGCAAGCAAGCCAACAAGCCAGCAGGTATATAATATAATAATTCTTTGATTGAGACACTGGAACCGGAAACAAAAGAGCACGAAGAGAAGGACCGGGATCATCGTGAATGGTTTCAGTGACCGTTACGTTTCGTTTTTATTATTTCTCGTACTTTGCACTTCGTTGCGTGAATCCTCGGTTGTATATATATACGTGTACATAATGAGAGAGAAAGAGAGTTCTTATTTTATTTTATTTTTGTTTATTACGAGCGAACAAGAAAACAATAATAAATTTTACCTCAACGGAATAAAAACCGAAAAAAAATTGAAAAACAAGAAAAAAAAAAGAAATAGCAAAAAATATCAGGAAAGAAAGAACTTCTCAAATGTAAAGTTTCAAGGGGTCAACCGTTTATAAATGCGTAATAAATCATGTCAAACGAATTGATTGGAAACACGGCATACTAAATTTGTTTTTTCAATTTTTTCATTGTCATATTTAATTTTTTTTAGGAAATTAAATAAAAACAATTTTTTTTCAATGGTAAAAATTAGAAAAGTATTAAAATTATCAATTATCACAAAGAAGAATTAAGATTTAAAAAAATTTTTAATTCAAACCTATTGAAATTAACAACTTATCAAAATTTTATTGTAAAACATAAAGAAATCGATCGCCTTCTTTATGTTTTGTAATAATTTAAATTAAAATAAAATTTTTCAAAAATTCAATTATTAAAAAGAAATTTAATAAATTTCGTTTCAATAATTCAATTATTTTCATAAATAATAAATCGATTATTCGGTAATTTATTTTCAAAACAATTTTTATTAGAAAATTCTAGAAGAATTCTATTATTTTAATTAAAAAATAAATAATTTATTGAATAATTGAATGTCTGTTAAAATTGAATTCTCATAAAGAATTTTATCAACAAATTTTTAAATAATTGAATTCTTTTGACAAATTTTAATAAAATTTTTAAGAATAATTACATTTTTCGAGGAATTCGATTAAAATATTGTATCAAAAATAATTAAAATCTTGGAATGAGTTTTATTATTTATGATGAAAATAATTAAAATTTTCCCAAGAATATTATTAAAATTTTTCTAAAATAATTTAATTTCTGCGAAGAATTTTATTACTTTTGAAAATAATTTAATTCTTCCATCGAATTTTATTCAAGTTTATAAAAATAACTGAATTTCTGTGAAGAATTTTATTATTTCTATAAATAATTGAATTCTTGCAACGAACTTCATTCAAGTTTATAAAAATAATTGAATTTCGGTGAAGAATTTTATTAATTATAAAAATAATTGAATTCTTGAAAAGAACTTTGTTAAATTTTTTTAAATAATTGAATTCTTGCGACGAATTTTATAAAAATCTTTTTAAATAATTGATATTTTTCGAAAAATTTTATGAAATTTTGTATTTTAAATAATTGAATTCATGTGAAAATTTGATTACTTATGAAAATAGTTGAATTATTTCGAAGAAATTTATTAAAAATTTTGTAAATAATTGAATTCCTGTGAAATTTTGCCAAGAATTTTATTAAAATTTTTTAAAATAATTGAATTTTGCTGAAGAATTTTATTATATTTAAAGATAATTGAAATTTTGACGATAATTTTTTTTTAATTTTTGAACATAATTGAAATTCTACGAAGAATTTTTATAACTTTTGAATATAATTGAATTTCTGGAATCATTTGTAACTTTTCCAAAATTCAATTTTTTTTAGTGTTTTTAACTAAAATTCTTCTATAAATCTAGTATTTATGAAAATTGTAGATATTATTCATTAAATAATTTATAAGTCATAATTTTATGATAGTTCTTGAAAAATTAAGTTATTTAAAAATAAATTATTGTCAGAAATAGAAAAAATTGAAGGTTTTGTATTAAAATTAGTGGCAAATAATTTTATAGTTTATACGAGGCAAACAAAAAAAACATCAAAATTCAGAGTTTTCTCATGAATTTTAAAAATTTAATTTTTTCCAGTACTTTTACTAAAAATCCCTGATTAATATTATTATGATACAATTTGATTAAAAAAAATCATACGTAAATTCAATATTTTTATAGCAAAGTTTTCCATTTGGCAAACAATTTCCCATTGTTTTAAATTCGACTTTTATGAAATTTCTTTTAAAATAATTCTTCTGTTTATTATTTTTGTTTTCAAATTAATAAAATACCGAATTTAATAAATTTTTTCTTATTAATCTTTTAAAATCCATTTAGAATTCTGACTTTGGCGCGAAGTTCACAACGTTCATAATCAAAGATTTGGAAGAAAAAATATTTTTTTTTCAAATTTTATAAAAATATATTTATTTATAAAATTGTATAAAAAAAAATGTTTTGTCAATTTTTTTTTATTAAATAATAACAATTTCAAAAAGAAACATTTCTAATCAAAAAACGTTATTCAACAATTGAGAAAAATTCTTCTTGTCAAGAAAAATATGTTTTTTCTACAAATAAATGATAATAATAATAATAAAATAAATAAAATAAAAATCAATAACGATTCACAGAAAAAAAATATTTTGACTACAATAGAAAAAAAAATCAAACCTTGTGAACTTTTCACCGAAGTGACTTATGTGAATTCTTTCAGAATTCTAGTATAGAATTCATTAACAATTTCTATTTTATATCTAATCTTATATTTTATCTCTACAATCATATAGAGTACTTTATCTCTTATACTCTAATTCATAAATAAATATCTCACCTGAGGAATTAATTAACCATGAACTATTCAAAAATCCACTAATAGGATATTATATCTCCGAGAGTATGTATGTAGGTATGTAAAGTAGAAGTAATCCTCAAAAAAATTTTTACTTTGTCTCATATAGACACACAGCACACACAATATTTAATATTGTTTGCATATAATCACCTTCACTGTCATCACTATAAAATTTTATATAAAGACACAAACTCACACACACAGTTATTAATCAAGGAGACACCGGCTACTGTTTTATACAAAACTGCTTATCAACGATTCGCGTCATATAAACGATTTCCAAGTTAAAATGACTGCGGTTCCTATAATAAAGTAGAGAGAGAAAATGAAATTATTCAAAGACTGATGATATTCCAAATGATTGCTATACACTTTACACAAACACACATTTTTTTGTTTATACGCTAGATAAAAATATCACTTCGTTTGTAAAAAGGTTAATAGTGCCAAGTAAATATTTCTCATCAAAAAAACCCTCACTTTGATTATTATTAATATTTATATGTATTGACGATTTACTCCAAATTATTTGCATTTAATTTTTTTTCTAATTCTCTTTTTTTATTTATTATGCGCTGTACAAAATGTTTTTTTTCGTTTTAATTTTTATTTTATTCATTTTTCTCTGCAAAAAGTTTTCTATTTTTTTATTTTTGTTTTATTTATTCTGCTCTAAAAAATATTTTCTACTTTTTTTTATTTTTCTACTAAATAAATTGTTTTTCACTAATAATTATTATTAATAATTTTAATAATAATAATGATAAATATTATTTTTATTATTTATTATTATTTTATTTTTTTCTAGTCGAAAGTGGAAAATCGACAAAAGTTCAGATACCTGCATTAAATTATTGTTATTAATAAAAAACTACAATTTATTAATTATCAAATTAATTTTAATCAAGATGTAAAATAAAATTAACAAAAAAATCCCAATCAATTTGAAATAAACAATAAAATAGTAATATAATATATAATAATAAAAATATCAAAAATGAATTTCAGTGAAATTACTAATTCTCTTTCGGAATGTTGATTAGAATAAATTGTGTTATCTCTATTATTAATTGCAATCATTTATTACAAGAGTATTTACTAAACATAACTATTTTTTCTCAATTTATATTCTCTACTGAATTTTTAATGGAAGAAAATAATAAAAAGTTTAAATTGTAAATAATTATCTAATAACAAGAATAAAAGCTTTAAATTTTCAATAAAAAAATAATAAAAGCTTCGAATTGTAAATAATTATTAAAAAAAAGCTCTGAATTTTTAATTTTTAATACGAAAAAATAATAATAGCAGCTTCTATAATTGTAATTGTATTCTATAATTTTAAATAACAATAATTGTAACAAATTTTAATAAAAAAAAATAATAATAATAATTTGTTATAATATATACAAATTTTTTTCACTAATTCTATACAGAAAATTTCGTAGACTGCAATTTTCAAACTATTTGGCAATGACCCAATTATATTATATTGTAATTGTGTTTATACTATTTTCGTAATATTTAAAAAAAAAAAAAAATAATAATAAAATACTAATTCAAATAGACGAAATTTATATATGTGTATAAAAGACGAAACAAATGTATTTAAATACAAATATACAGTAAAGCTAAAAAAACATTGCAAAATCTAATATTATTAAAATTCCTTTAATATTAAGCATTAAGACATTCGTGAAATAATTTTAGATTTTCTAAATTCTATTTATGAAACACATCAAGATTTTGGAAAATCTATGCCAGGAGTTGTTTAAAATAGTCTTCAGGACACGAGGCAAAAAAAAATGTGATTCCATTAATAATAATGAATATATATTTAAATTAAATATTTTTTTTCCCCCAAAAGAAAAAGAAGAAAATTCATTCGAAATTTTTATAACAAGAAAGAGACAAAAATAGATTATTTGACAAATTTTTTTTCTTTCTAACTTGTCAGAATTTCACGTAAATATTCATAAAATTTATTATCACACACTTTTATTGCATTTCTATTTTTTTTTCTCTTCGTTATTATCCAAACCTTTTTTTTTGCAATGTAGATTTTCCTTTATAATCTACAATAAAGTCATAGATTTTTTTTTTGTAATTTGCAATAAATTTTTTATTTTCTTTTTGTAATTTGCAACAAATTTTTAATCTTTTTTTGTAATTTGAAATAAATTTTTAGATTTGTTTGTAATTTGCAATTAATTTTTATTTTTTGAATCATTAAGATATATTGTAATATTTTTTTTTTTTGTAATTTGACTAAAATTGTTATGCACTAAATTTTTTTCCGACTTATCAAGATGAGAAAAACTTACAATAAAAAAACCCCCCCGAGATGAAAAGCAAATTATTTTGTTTCTGCACAAAAAAAGAATGTTTCGCGAAATATAGAACATTCTCTGAGAAAATAGAGATTGTCTATCAGCAAACTAGAAATATTTGCAGTTTCAGATCTTGAAAATAAATATATAAAAAGAAAACAACCAAGTTTATCCGATTTTCACTTTTAATTTAAATGAAAGTTATATATAAATTTTCATAAAACAAGTGGCATGTACTTGTACAGAAGTCATTGTAAAAGAATTTATTGAACTACCATTCATAATAAAACTAATTAAACAACATTTCAAGTTTCGAGCGAGAAAAAGAAATCCTGTATTCACTGATAATTTATTTATAGACTAAAATTATAATACAAACGAAATAAAAAAAAGTAAAAAAAAATATTTTTATTTTGTTCTTTTACTTTTTTCCTCTTTCTTTAAATTGATTGTATAAAAATTAATTGTTTTTATTTTTTTATTTTCCTTTAAATTGATTGTTCTAAAAATTATTGTAAAAAATAATTCATTAATTTACTGAAAAATCAATTTTTAAAAATTAATTCAAATTCATTTATACAATTAACATTTTAATTAACATTTCGAATTTTTCTTCTTTAACGTAAATTACTAATTAACATTAACAGCATTTTTTTTTGGTCCTAAATCCTAATTTTTAACTAAAATTTTTGTCTTTAAATATTTATAATTGTTATCAACGGTATGCGCAGAATTTGAACATAAACATTGGTTATTACGATTTTGCTTGTTAATATGACTAAAACTATATGTCTGAAAAACCTATTTTGAGCCTCAGAGCAATAAACAATTGTTGAAAGAAAAAAGCAAAAAAAAAAAAAAAAAAAATCCACTGACAATGAGCAGAAGGCTGCATTGCTTTGATAACATAATTGCTAAATAAAGGACTGTTGGTCACCAATAATCACTAATTTCATACAAATCAAGAGAGCTCTCACATAAAATAAAAATGCGATCGGAATTTTTCTGCAATATTATATTACGAAAATATTCAAAGATAATAATAACAAATTACAAATAAAAAAAATTTAGTACTTTCTTATTTTATTTTTTTATTAATTTGTTTATTTAATTTATTCATTTTTTTATTTATTTATTCAATTTACATATTTACACGTTTTATTTAATAATTTCTTTATAAATAATTTATTTATTTAACTTAATTATTTATACGTTTTATTTATTAATTTGTTTATTTCATTTATTCATTTTATTTATTTATTTGATTTACTTGTTTACACGTTTTATTTACTAATTTCTTTATAAATAATTTATTTATTTTATTTATTGATCTATTTGTCTCCTTAATTTTTTTTATTTATTCGTTTTGCTTATTAATTTCTTTATTTAACTTATTTTTTTGCACGTTTTATTTATTAATTTGTTTATTTAATTTATTCATTTAATTTATTTTATTTAATTTATTTACACGTTTTATTTATTAATTTGTTTATTTAATTTATTCATTTAATTTATTTTATTTAATTAAGGTACTTATTTACACGTTTTATTTATTAATTTATTTATGTAATTTATTTATTTTATTTACTAATTTATTTGTTTGTTTAATTTTTTTTATTTATACGTTTTATTTATTAATTTATTTATGTAATTTATTTATTCATTTTAGGTATTTATTTATTTTAATCATTCATTTTATTTATTTATTAAACAATGTTAGGTTTGCAAGCCCATTTACTCAGGTAAATAAATAAATAAATAAACATTCGAAAGGGCTCTGCCCCCGTATTTCAATAAATAAATAAAAATGTAAATACAAAAACATAGAAATAAATAAATAAGAAGTGAATACAATTATTTAAAAATAAACAAATAAATAGTAAATATAAATATTTATAAATAAATAAAATAACTGAGTAAATAAACAAATACCTAAATAAATAAATACTTCAATAAATTTAATTTCAATTTGCTAAAATTTAATTAATTTTAGCCCCAAAATTAAAAAAATATTGCAATACAATTTAAAATTTATTTTAAATTCCGAAATTATGAACAAAAAATGATAAATTTTCCAAGTTGCTATGAACGAGAATATAAAAATATCTATTTTAGAAGAACTAATTTAATTAATGATCAAAAATTAGTTCTCCAAATAGATTTTATTCTCTATATTTATATCCTCACCCCAAAAATAAAGCCAGGAACTAATTTTGATAAAACGAGAGAATTAAGAAAAATAAAAAAGAATAGAAAAAAAAAATAATTTGCTTTTTCATCATCAAGCTGCTCCCATTAAGTAATTTACAAATAAGAGTAATAAAGTGATGCTTTTGTCTGATGAGTATAGAACTTGCAATGCGTGTGTATATAGTTATAACAAAACGACAGAAATTCCAATTGAATGAGCTTAATAACATTCAGAGAGCACACTAATTCACTGAATCTTTAGGATCAAGTCATTCCATCACTAACTTTTACTACTTGGAACGATTAGAAGCACGCACGAAAACACCGTATAGCAATCATATTATAATTTACGATTTAATCGTGTGCAGGGAGATGGAGAGAAAGAGAGAGAGAGAAAGAGAGAGGAGAGTGAGAGAGAAAGATTACACATTTTGCCGCGCTCAACTTTTCATTTTGATAAATCTCGAAATTATTTTATTTTATCTCGATGATTAATTAGTCATAATTTATTGGAATCTGGTTTCGGTGTTTGGAAAGTGGTCGATATATTTATATATATAAATTGATCGTTAGCAATTTCACCGAGAGAGACGTCTCTCTCTCGTTTCGGCCCGGTAGGCGGTAGGCACGATACTGCTGGATAATGTAGTGGTCGAGTTAGTCGTCAGTCGTCACCCTCCTTGTTCGTCTCCCTTCCCAAACGGAGGACGTAGTACGCATTACCGGTGCTATTTCTCATGTCATCCGGTTCGATCTCGTCAATTTTCGTCACATTATACGTCCGCAGGAAGTCTGGGATATACCCCAGGATCAATGCCAATTTCGATTTTCCTTTCCTTCCTTCTTTTTCTTCTTTTGCTTTCCCTCCTTTCGTTCACGCGATATTTGAAGGAATTCGCGTGTCACTATTTCCTCGCTATTTGCAAATTCGAATCGAAAATTGCAATCGAGTTAAATTGCTTTTGC